TGCACGTCTTTTTTTTACTGTAGCGTGCGTCTGTTCAAGGACAGGCATGTATGATTGTGTTTAGTGTATATTTGTCTAAGCGTGTGATTAGACAAGATGGATGAGATGGATGCATTGATGTTTATTTGGAAAGAGGTTCCTTGTCCCCAGATAGGAGGTGAGTCCACACATCACTGCGACACTCTTTTCTTTCCCTTTTTTTTGGTCCCCAAAACACACACATACACAAAGAACAAAATAACACAAACACATGACTTTCTGACCTGTGTTCTCACAGAGAGAACAAATGTCACATCACTAAATAATAACAAAACTCTCTCTCTCTCTCTCGCAGAAATGAAGAAAAGAAAACACCTCTAACAAAAATACAGTATGGCATATGCCTTGTTGTTCCACTGACAACTTGATTGAACGACTTAGGTATAAAACAAAATTACTGTTTACTTATAATTAGCCATCAAGTTCTGCTATCAATCAAGTGATACTCATAAAGCCTCACGAGTGGTTTCAGCTGATTTGTAATGGCCACATGGAAATAAGAAAGACCACTCTTCTGTGAAAAGTTTTGAATCTCAAGCCAAGCATTTTGACAGTTGATTAAATTGAAAAATAACAATTTGATCTAATTAACCCTGCCAGTGTATCAGGCCTATAAAGAAGGTGAAACAGATGAAACAGCAATAACCCTTTCTAACTTCAGATTTCCTTTTCATAGAGGCCAGATGAGGTGAGCAAAGTGCACCTTCTCTGGGTCCGGAGGCATATGCATAAAGGAAAGTAGGGCAGCTCACTATTGTTTGACGTCTATTCCAGGTGATAAAAAAATTGACTTAATTAATGCTTATTTCCAAGAGTTGTTGCCCTCTCCAAGTTTCAAAATTGATTAACAACATTCTGGGGAACTGAAACAAAATTGAAGCTCATTTTACACACAAACATCTGTTGGCTGATGCTTATATCTCTGGGCTCCTCCATTGGCAGCTTATTTTACTGAATAAATAAAGGCATTCTGGGAAGCAGTAGACATTGAAGTGCTTTAGCATATCAGGCAACAGCTTGCTTCAATAGAACCTCCCAATTTTGACCTCTGAATAGATATTGTAAGGTAAAAGAACACTGTAGAAAATCTTGACCTTGTTCTAATGATGACTTTACACTTACAGGCTTTAAGCAGCACGGTCTGTCCATTCCAAGCAGAAACAGGTGAAAAACGCACTGTTTTCAGTTGTAATCTCTGTCTTCATCCCAAGCTTTGTGAGTACTACTAAATCAACATATATTATTAATTTTATTCAAAGCAGACACCTAGTGAACATGGTTTTGTACAGAGCTAGAAACATTGACAATAATTGGCTGCATCAATATTGGCTTTGTCCTCTTCTTTACCCTGATTTGAGTTTGAAATGCACATTTAATTGTATTTTACACCTATATATAATATATATATATATAAGTCTGATGATTGCACAGTCTATTTTATGTGGACTACTCAAATATATTGTCCGTTATAATTAAATACGTTGTGCTAAGGCTGTGAAACTCTGCTGTATGAATTCATAAAGAGCAAATGTGTAACGGCAAATAATAAATTGGGCTATGTGAGCCCACTATTGTTAACATGCTGCCTCAAGACAAACCTCAAACCATGCAACCTGTCTAGTGTCACTGCCTTCTATTGTATGCATCATGAAGTCCATAGTATGGCTATGCATGCATTCATGGCATTTTGATCAAGCGCAATGGCAAAAATACAAACTTGGGTCTCTGCTCGCAGGTGTGTGGGTTTGTTGCAGAGAGCTACTCTATGCTACGGAGGAGAAAAAAAAATATGTATCAATTAATCAAAGGCAGAGATTCATAAAGTCTGTGTGACATCTTGTTTGCTCCAAATCCCTGGACCTACAGTGCATAGATTCGACTGCTACCTCATGTACTTAAAGTGCTAGCTTGAATATTGGATGTGGCCAAATTGCTCTAATCGGACAGTTGCCAAACAACACAATTACCTCTCAAGAGACCAAAGGGTTTTAGACAAGGGCAGTGTGCCAGCTCAGATTCTTTTTTGAGTATTGTGAATCAAAATTTAACTTTATGACAGGGTGAAATTTAGCAGCATTAAGCTGACTTCAAGCTGGTTCAGCCTAGTTTGTCCTATCATTATCTAAACTTTTACTTGTCTACCCTCAATGTAGAAGCATGTGTATGATATATGATTAATTAACAATAACAGAACGGCTCTGTCCTTGTCATTAATCAGAAAGAAAAAAAGAACTGCTACAAACACCAGCTCTCAGCACTAGCGTAGAAACAGCGAAACCCTGGACCCACTATACACTTTCAAAAGTAAAGATGAAGCGACTGACAACAACTAGTGAAAACCTGTTTTTATATTATTCTGAAAATAACATGGAGGAGAAAATTGTTTCCCCCATGCCCCCAGTGGTTACCCCTGAGGCTGAAAATGAGCGTTAGAAAGCCTTTGACCCAAGGCTAACACATTTTCATTCAATCTCGGAAGCCAACTCCGAGCGAGCTCCCAACAACAACATACAAAAAGACACTCTATATAGAAGTGGCAAGCACAGAGATACAAAAATTGAGAAAAAATGAATGAAAATGAACAGATATTGTCAGATGCTTCTGTCATTTGTTGACCCCTTGTAGATAGACATAAATACAGAAGATAAAGATAAAGATAGATAAAGTGATAGACAGACAGACAGACAGACAGACAGACAGACAGAGAATAGATAGATAGATAGATAGATAGATAGATAGATAGATAGATAGATAGATAGATAGATAGATAGATAGATAGATAGATAGATAGAATGTCATATTCTCCTATACATATTTTCATATCTCTCTTTTTGGTCCGTAATTACAGTGTAAAATATTTGACTGCATTTCTCTCTAATGAGAGCAATAAAAAAACCTTTTCTTTCACAATGCTGAGAGCCAGCAATGATCTTTTTTGCTGGAAGACTAATCATCTCTGTGTGATTAGGAGCTGAAGGTTAATGTGGGCTCACGCAGATGGGAGAGGGAGCGAGGTGGGAGTGAGGGAGATCAGACCAGACAATGTTCTAGAAAGGCGCAGGCGGGCGGCGTTGCAGAGGCACAGGGGGGCTATAAGTGGTTAAGAGTCTGTGGAACAAGGGGAGGAGAGGCCTGAGCCTCATTACACATGTAAATGCAGCTTCCAGCATGGAGGCCCCACTTTAAAGCCTTGGTTTTTTAATTATTCCTTTGCTCTGCACATGATAATTGGGTCTAACTCAGCCCAGGGCCTGTTGACTATGTAACAAGGATAAAACACCCTAATGACTTTGTCCATTTTTAATGGTGATCAGTGAAAAAACCTGGCCACCTATTGGATTGAAAATAACCATGGTATTGCCTTTTGTCTTGAATTTTCAGACTCCTGCTGCTTGATTTGTTCTGTGTAATTATGCCCATAAAAATCACCTGTTTGCCGTTCAGGAATTTATGTTAATCTATGCTAACTGCTGTATCACTTTCTCTGTGACATGGTTTAACAAAGCACTAGTAGAACTATATTTCTCTGTCTGTAACGTTTGTAACAATGGAAAGCATTGATGATGTCTTTCATGACAGACTTGTTGAATAGCATGCACAAAACATTTTCTTTTCATACTAATTTTTCCATTCGAATGTAAGTTCCCCAAATCCATTCCTATTTAGAGTAAAGAGCCACACTGCTGACAGGCAGAAATCCAATATTAAAATATGTGAAATAATAATCCTATTGAGTTTTAACCTGCATTGAGCATGAAAAAAGAGGAAATAAAGATATTCAGTAGAAAAATGTTTGTTCCTGCCTCTCTTTCAGACACGCTTTAGGAAATTGTTGCTTTGACCAAAGGTTGAGTTTTAGATTGCCTTTTGTATGGAGTGTTAGATATATAATAGTGTGCAATTGAAGAAGATCCAAACCAGATTTATATAATTCTCTGTCTTCTCTCTACATGTATTATTGTAGACTATTGTAGATTATCTATTCTTTTACAACATATCACATATGATAGAATGGCTGTACCATGATCCCCATGATGCATGTAAAACCTACAGGAAACGTAATTTTGATGTTGATGAGGGAAGTAGAAAAAGCTACTAATTTAAAGACAAGCCAGGGAACATGCTGCTATCTGTGACTCACCGATTTATTCTAAATCAACTGAGCACAAAAAACAAAGGATACTCGTTCTCAGTATCAGACACCATCAGTGACGTTGATCCACACAATTCTTCTTTCTAACAATATTGTCAGTCAGAATAGAGAACTTTGTCTTTGCTTCTATTCTGTCTGCCTGAGTAACTCACTTAGGATAAACCACATTTAACAACAGGGTTTCTGGTATAGACACCAGTGGAAATTAAGAATATTAATATTTGTTTACAACTTTGATATTCATTGTTCACTGTGTGCTTGTACTTGAATGATACTTCATGTAATGTGTGAATTTAATTGAATGGGGCTCTGTACTATTTATGTATTTTGTGTTAATTGTTTAATGTGTGAATTGCTTGTTCAAATAGATCTACTTCACCCTACAATATTACTGTGATTAATGTGTACAATGCAAGACAACATCATTGATGTTCCAATATACTATCCACAGCAGAGTACACTTCAGCTCACTTCACATTAATAATTAGCTTTTAGTTTGTACACTAATAAATGTGTTGTGTTCCATATTGTGTGGGCTGTGCACTGTTTTTGGTGCTGCCTTTCAAACTGAATTACTAACAGGTAATGCGTTTCTTTGTGGCATTGATAAAAAAAATAAAAAATTTTATGAGCTTTAGTACAACACTGTTTTCTACTCCTGCCTTGATTATCATCAGCACTTATGAAATGGCGGATCAATCTGTGAAGCTACAGCATAACATGCATATTTAACTTGTTCCCCAGCAAACAGAAATTATGAAATTCTTTTTTCTCATTTTGACTTGAAATATACAGATTAAAAACTTACCTGGCCTGGTTTGGCATCTTCACATACTGAGGCTTCGTATGGTGTTGCCAGTTCAGGAGGATTGTCATTAACATCCAGAATCCGAATACTCACTGCAGAGTGGGAAGCCATGGTGTGGTTATCTACAAGAGAGATGGAAAGAACACATTTGAACGATATCTGTGTAGACCCATAATAGTGTAAAAAGCTATGGAACGGATGTCTAGTTTTGAGACTGCAACACATAACACCAGGGCTTGGCAACTGAATGACTGAGGTTCTGATCCTGGTTGGAGAGCTCCTCAAGTAACAGGCTGTTTACGTTTCAGTCACAGTTTTCAGTCGTCTTAACTTTATTAATTAGCCCCAAAATGTATTTTTTCCCCAGGATTGGCAGAGTCATGACCAGCCCTACTCTGACTTACCTCTGATATCCCTACCCTAACCAACCCAAACCAACAAAAGCAATGAATACTAGCCAATCAGTCAGAGTAGGGCGGGTCATATGCACTGGGCTGCCACTGGAAACTGCCAACGGCTGTTTTAGAGCGAAGAAAAAGAGTTGATTTCTGGTACTGTAACGTTAGCTAGAGCTAGGGAAAAGTCAGCAATTTAAATGAAAAAATAAAAAAAGTGTTATGGCATTCATTCTCTGTAAGCATGTGCTCATGTTTAGAAAATAAGATTTTTTTAACACGCAAAGTACGCAAAGTTCAGGTATCGGAATCAGTATAGGGAAGAAAAAAATGGTATCTGACTATCTCTAGTCATAGATTTTCATTTACTTTATTAAAAAAAACTACACAGACTGCACAATAAAGCTTTTCACTTTAACTTTATGCATATAACTGTAACACAAAACATATTTTTACATTTAAGATCCCTCCATTTCTGTGCGTAACTACAGGGATTGTGTATTGGGCTGTGAATGCTGCCAAAATGCAACTGACCACCGAAAAAGTCCTTTGGCTGAACAGATCCAGTGTAGACATTAACAGAGGACTGCAGATTCGGCTGACATGCTGCAATAAGAGGCTGGGGTGAGATTCTTTATGCTCTTCATGTCTGTCTTCAGTATGAGTAAGACAAGGCTCAAAGACTCAGATGGATGCAATTTTCCACAAGAAAGCAGTCAGTTGGTTTTGCATTGTGGCTAAGTGCTAAAGGGTTTTAATCTAATGCCTCCACAAATTGCACCCATTACCTGAATAACACTTGCACTGGCACTGGTGAGTGACGTGAAAATGGTACCAAAGATTCCATTTTTGTCTCTAGGTCCTCACTATCTCATAATGACACTACAGTTTTTAGCTGTTTAATAGTCTGAGTGCAAGAGGCACACCTCAGCACAATGATAATAACAAATGAATGCTTTTGACAAAATGAAGTTTTATAACTAGGTTCGGGAACAAAGACCACGCCCCAAACTCATCTCATTTCCGATCAGAACATATTTAAGCACACCTTATCCGTTCACTCCCTCCTTGACTAATTTTCTACATACCTCCCCCCAATTCCCTTCTTTCTTCTTGTTTTCTCTCTCTTATCCAAATACAGGAACCACTGGGGCTCACAAAGACATAAGAGATGGTTCCCCCACTCAGCGTCTCAACACCCACTCTGTTCCTCCTGATCATCTCGCCGAACTCCTCCCTCCATCCACCTATCCTACCAGCTTTTCTCCCTTTCTATCACCCCTCACCCGTCCTTCCTATACCCCCTCATCCCTCAACCCTCGACCCTTTCCCCCATCCGTTGACCCCTACCCCATCATCCCTTCATCCTTCCATCCCCTCCATCCCTCGACCCTTTCCCTCCCAGTATTCCACATATGTTCATAACATGTAATAACATTTTTCTTATTCCATACAGCCATTGGCGTGGTCTTTGTTAGTGAAACTACAAATGTACTGTAGTGTTGTAATTTTATTTCAAATGCTATTTTCAACTAAATAAAATATATAATACTACAATGCACTCTCAAGACATTTTTCTTAATGGGCCAGAATGTAAACGTGGGAGTGGAGAAGATTATGTAATTAGCACAATCAAAATCTACTTCAAATTAGCTCGACTTCTCCTTGAATCTTAATTCCCATTCTTAATCATATGATAATGTCTGATGGAGTTTCCATTTTACTCATAAAACACTATGTACTGTACAGAAGGGAGCTGGAGGCCCTTAGCGTGTGTGTGTGTGTGTGTGTGTGTGTGTGTGTGTGTGTGTGTGTGTGGGTGTGTGTGTGTGTGTGTTAGTTGAGGAGAGAGAACATTTTCTCTGTGCTAAATGAGTGATCTGGTTGCTTCAAGTGTTGGTCTGGATATCCTGGTTAATTAGACTACATAGCTTATGAATAAATCAGTATACGCAGCTGTCACCACCCAGTTCATGCACCCTACACAAAATGCAACAACATTCAGTTACTGACAATAACCCAATGCTGGAAAAACACACACAAATCCTTGCAGTAAAAAGAACTCCACTGGTTGAATTTAAATTGATTCAATTATGTAAATGTGGCAGAGAATTAAGTGAAATTGAGTGATTTCTCTTAAGTATAAGTACCTTCACATTGTGAAATTACTGATGCATGCATATGTAAAACTTAAATTAACACTGTTAAGTGATCTAGGTTATCATTTGCAATTGTAATGAATAGTTAGTTATTAGTAGTAGTTATCAGTAACAGTAACCTAAAAAGCAAGAGATGTGTATGTATATAAATAATCTGGAAAATAAAGACCCGTACACTTTTCTGTCAAGTGGAAGTACTCAGAGCTACCAGAAGAAATGAGGTGCAAACTGAACTGAAGCCACGTGGCTGATTGTTTTGTTTTGTTTTCGCAGTTTTTATAGTTTTGTTCGCTCTTCATTTGTAAAATATGCTGCGGTGTTGTACTTCTGTGGTGTCAATGTTTGTGATTGATCATATGCTCCGCCATACCCCTCATTTTAATGTAAACACGTTCATAGCTGGATACCCTGCATTGACTTACCAAGTTGACACCCACTATTGCAAGATCACAGATATTAAGGTTAGTGAAGGCAGATAACTAAAAGATATGCTGGGTATGTTGAACTTGCATATTCATATATTGCATATTGGTCTTCTAAGGACTCTGGAGACTGGACTGAGGACCCTCAACCTCTCTCTACAAAGTCAGTCTTAGTTTGGGTCTCAATCGTCTCTTTTCCATTAATTTGTGTCTTCACAGACATTTTTTAAATTATTGTTCCATAAAGAAAACATTAAGGCTTAAAGAGTGACATATTTGGACGCATGTTTGCATAAAATGATAAATCTCTCCCAAACTCAGCTGTGGTAATTGCTACTTGTATCAAGGGTAAACTTCAGGCTTCAAAAAGTACAACAGAAACCTATGTGTGAAGCCACTGTGTCTATGATTTTCTTCTGACTATGAGCAGGACAGATGACAGAATGGTGACAGCTAACATACAGGTGATCCACAGGCTGGATAGAAGAACAACAAAAGACAGTTTTATCAAAGACAGTCAGGCAAACCAATAATCAACAGACTTTCAGACAAATTTGCAAGCTCTCTATCTCACCACACAGTTCTGCCCAACAGTGGCACAGCTGCTAATGAGAATGCTGGTCTCAACTAATAGCATAATCCTCACATCAATGCAGGGTTTTAATTGACTGCTTTTTGCCAGAGCAGCAAGAACATAAATGCACAGAGAGCTCCACCAGTGGTAGATATCGCCTCTCTTCTTCTTCTTCTAATTTTGTCTTCACATTATGCTGCTGTCCCCGCTGTGCCAGAATGAAAACCAGCAATCATCAGATGTTACACATTTTACATTTCAATTCCCAGAATTGAAAACAGATGAAACAATGTGAGAATGCCCCGCCTCCACCCACCCCAAACTCCCTCTATGGGGAAAAAGAGTTATTCAGTGAGACAGGTTCATTCATCTGGACCAAGTGGCGCTGTTCTAAATCTGTCTGCAGATAGGGAAGAAGAATAAAAAGGATTTCAACAGATTATTGGCATGCTCTGCATCTGTGTGGCACTCACCAGCTGCTGCGAATCTTTCAGAACGACTGTATAGTAGATCTCTCAGGCACTGCATTATACTGACTTCAGGGAAGACAGATAGAGGATGTGAGTGTGTGTGTGTGTGTGTGCATGTCTTTGCATATGTGTGTGTGGGTGTGTGTCAGGAGTGTCAAGCTCCTTGTGACCAAATGGTTCATCTTCTTTGCTGGAGGAAACAGTTTGGTTTAAAATGTCATTTTTGTCAGGAGGGGAAACAAGGATACAAATGTACTCAACAGTGTGTGCTCCTGGTCTCTTTACTGAGCCAGAGGCACAGCCATGTAGGCACAGAGGCAGAAGTATTACCGCCATTTCTCTTCAGTTATATAGTTCCAATATTACACACACTCACCAGTGTTCATCCAAAATCTCTTTATAACAGTTTAAGCTACTGTGTGTTAAAGAACTTACAGCTGTAAACACCTCCCATGTAACTAAACAAAACATTTCAAAGCCATCCGAACACAATGAATAATTGAAAATATTTACTAAAATTGCAACATTTTATGGCAGATGCCCAAAGGAAAATAAACATTCCACAAATACCCCTTATCAAAGACAAATGTTTTCACAAAAGCTAACAGATCCGGGTGCTGATTCCCATATGCAGCGATAGCCACTCATTTCCATTACAGTATTCACCATGAGGAAAATAATTTTCACAACTATCAAGTTTAAACAGGTTTAGCAACTGGGAATACACACATCTGATACACCAAGGAGAATCACAACATGCTTCTAAATGCATAGGTTTTCTCTCTGCGCTGTGCCGGCTGCTTTTTATTCATTTCCATGACAAAAAAATTAATACATAAATAAATAAAATCCTTCTAGGATAAAAATAATACAAACATCAATCTCGCTAAACCTACAGCATATATATATATATATATATATATATATATATATATTAAAAAATCTAATCACCAACTGAGCGCAGACAACTTGTTCTACCCATGTTAACTTATATAATACACAATACAACATCATGGAGACAGCTTGACGGATGAGAAACTGATCGACTCAGTGTAAATAATATATGAAAAATACTAATTGATGCTTCATAAATATCAAAAAGCTGATTATTGTATGAAAAAATAACTACCAGTATTGACATTCTTTGCGAGGAAAATGCTTCTCTAAACTATATCCAGATTTATCTTCTTGGAGAAAGAAGTTTTGTCTCAGTGCTGGATGTTTAGAATCACCATAATCCTAAAACAATGCATGGAACAATGTGTTTCAAGGAGAGATAGGGTACATTTTAGAAAGCTTTTTTGACTACCCTGGCAGGAACACTTAATCGCTAAGTGGGGTGCTTTTATGTTCGCTGATGTCAAGCCATGTCAGACCAGATTGTTTTGTCAATATCATTATTATAGAACAGGGTAATGCTGCCTCTTTCCAGGAATGAAATCTTCAACATCCTGTGTTTGTTTGAAAATGGAGAAATAATCTGGTGGGGATCATAACCTAGTAGTGTTTCTGCCAATACACCTCTGCTGGTGACTGAAAACTGTGAAGGGGCTCCATCACCAGTCGATATGATACTTTTTTGGTCTTGGCAACGAGGTGCAATCCCAGTTTAGAAAACTCTTCGAATGCTTTCCTGTGAAAATATTTCACATCCCTCGAGAATCATATGCTATTCTGATTTCCCACTGACTTCACTTCTTTACTAACTGAAACCTGGCTGCTGATGCAGGCATTCTCTGCATATTATCGTTAGATTCTGAAAAATGTTCAATCATTCTTTGCCACCACTGCTTTTATCAAGTCATTGGTGTTATTGGAAATAATCTGAATGAGGAATCTATCAAACTTTAATGAAACCCACTAAATATTTGTCATGAATTTGACTAGCTTACGGTAGATACCAACAACTGCCAACAAGAACAACAACAACACAAAAACAGAATTCGATTGGATTTTTCAAAGCACATTTTCTATGATGGACAAAATATTTCTTAAGTCTAAGAAATGTTATTGTAATACCGTGTTACTGGTTTAAATGTGTCACCTTTAGCCAATAACAATCCCCTTGACCAAACAATGAAAGTGTTATACTACACACTGGGGAGACACAACATTTCCCCAAGTTTCATAACAGTCAAATACGTAATGGTAATTGCAATAATGTGATTATGAACATGCTGCACACCAGCAGGTCTGTGTTTCATCAACATTTACTGAGTGGGGATTGAAACATCAGGGGAAAGATGATGAGGCAACCGAACAAAAGGTTCACTTCAAAATAATCATAATAAGTGAATATTATGTGCACAACAAACAAACAACAACCCAGATGACAATGACATGTAACCATTTATCTTTACAATATTGTGGGACTAATACAATGCAAGTGAGCACTGTGGCCTTGAGTGCAAGCTCTTGATACACAATAACCCAATACACTATACATGACAACTATTTGACAAATTCATTACATCAACCTACCAAATGAAAACAGAAACACATTGTTAGTATTCAGGATCTCCTCCTCCTCCGCAACGACACAGACAGTAAGGACATGTGAGTGATTATATAACAGGCCAGCAATACACTACAGCCAGGTCACAACCTCTGGTCCTTGATTACACATTATTATGTCTCCCCACCCTTGTCGACAGATGTTCTTTTCACTACAACAGCATCCACTACATTCATCCAAACAGAGCACTTTAAAACCCTCTGTGGCGCATAATAACTTCCCTGTTCTTTTTTAACAAATTCCATCTCATTTTGACTCCTAGTTTTATTTGAACCACTTATTGTACTTCACAAACAGGACTTTTTTTTTTTTGCTTCGCTTTTTAGATCCATTTTTCTTTCGTATTTTCCAACTTTGATCGAAAAGACACACTTATCTCCCTTGCAACAAGTGTGCGATTCATTTGGATTTGAAGAGAATAATGTTCTAACGCCATAAAAATCAAACAGTGTGCATTTGTTTGCCAGACAGCAAGTGAGAAAAGTTATATTGTAGAAAATGTCTCTTCCCTGCAACAGTGGAAGAGATAAAGACTTTTCAGCTACTTCGGTATCTTTGTGGCCTCAGGGTGATGCTCTTTTTTTTCACCTACCTGTCTGGGTAAAAAGGCAGTTTTGCAAGGTGATATCATACTTGCTATCAGTTCTGGAAAATTATATGTCACTCTAACTTGCCCTGATATGTTTCTATGGAGAAGACTGTCAAGAAGTACGAGTACCCCGGCTAGTGACACTGCAGTTAAATGCTCCTCCTGTACTCAGGGGGTTCTGTGTTCTCTGGAAGGGAGACAAGTCCTATACAGATGAGAGGTTGTTTCCTCCTTTACAGTGACAATGTCTGCAGGATGAGATGCTAGTGGTGGCTACTTTTAATTGGCTGAATATGAAGACACTGTGTGTGTGTATTTGTGTTTGATTGGTGGGATATCATTGCAGTGCAGTCTGCTCATGGTTGCACTTGAACTAAAACATCTTTACTTGGTCCACAGACTAATGCAGTAATTGACATTTAGTGTGTTTCTTGCAGTTTTGTAGCCGGGGTTAATCCTAGGGCACAGACTCAGAGCGTGTCAGAAAAGCTGTTGTCACTTGTCCAATACTGATATAGTGGCAATACAACAGTTCAAAGGTCAGTAATAGACTGGGGGAATAATTAAGGGTTGTGCCACAAAACTCTAGTTTTAACAATGTCCTCAGACAAGTTGACCTTGTGCCTCTCCAGGCTTAATGAGCAGAGGGACCCAGCAAAAAAAGAACAAAATCATTATGGAGAAAATGAAGTCCTTTCTTAAAATACTCTAGCTAGCTGTTTCACAAGTCCCATCCCCCCTCTATTCCCATCTCTCGTGTGGCCTTTTTTTTTTCTTTGTCTCTCCTTTTTTTTCTTTCTGTCTCCTGTCTGTGTGTCTACAACTCTCAGGACTCCATGAGCTAACAGACGATAAAGAAACGTTCTGGATGGGAATTCTGATGGCGCTGACCACTGACTCTGTCTGTCCGGATGTTTCCTTGGAAAGCAATGTGAGAGGCTTTATCTATCAAGTGCAGGCATGTGTTTACGTCTGATATTGGGAGGGTTAGGGCCGCTTTAAATGTTCAATTAACATTAAAATGTGCCTATGACATAATGCCAAGCACAAAGAAGCAAAACACAAAAGCGCCCAAATTGCTCTGGGAATTACAGCTCCAAAAAAAAGACTCTAGTCTAATTTTGTCTTAATGTTTGTGTTGGGTGAGACTGCTTACTATTCGGTTTAGGCTGTATTGATTATTGGAGTAATCACAGTCTGAGGCTATATGAGAGAGGAACAAATATGAAGACATTTTAAAATCAGCTTTGTTTATGAGCATTGTTTTCTTCCTTCTTGTGTGCAATGGCAGATACCAGTTAGATGCAGAATGCAATCTCCTCTGCTTTCACTGCAATCCCAAAATCACTTCATCTGTATGAGATTGAAAAAAGGGGGAACACCAGGCCTCCTCCTTTCTCAAGTTTACTTCTAATGGTATAGTAATAACTTCCCACTTCCCCAAAGTTATTACATTCTTTAGTTTCTTTGCAATAGCAAAAGCACCCAATGAGATGAAAAAATGTAAGCTCTTCCTTCATTCTCAGTGATGTGTTTGTCAGCTCTAAGACAACTGATAAAATTATGACTGTGTTTTCACGATGGTATTAGAAAGACGACATTGATGTGCATTGATGGCTACCTCCAAGGACTAGGATTGGTCCCTGATGGTTTGGCAGAACATATGAAAACCGGCTCAGGTTTCTAGCTGACCAGCTGTTTTGGTTGTGAAGCACTCAAATCTAAAAAAAATCTAAGCTGAAAATAACTTATTTATGTTTTCTAATTATTTAAAAGTTTTGTTCACATTAGTTATGCTTGTTAACACTTTTTTCTTTTAACAATTTTCAATTATTACCAGTTAATACACACACATATAATAATTTACATATTTAATCCCATACTTTGTTGTCATTGTTTTTAGCAGCTGTCTCTTCCTCTGTAAGTACATGGAGAGCAATACAATCATACATTCCTTGTGTTTATACCTATGCTTAGCTAATTCAGATTCTTATTATTTTCATTTACCAGTCAAACAAGCACCTTTGCATGCAGCAGTATGTACAATTGCAAAGGGATTCCATTAAATCAAGAATATTGTATATTTTATTTACTGGTGTTGGCATTGTTATGAGTTATTAATTTTCATCCCATGACACTTGTATCTTGCTCTCAGATGATACATTTTGTTTACAAAAAAAACTCTTACATCCATTTAAGTGCTGTTCCACTACCGTGCATTACTTTCCTTGTCTTTCTCAAAGCTAAAAGCCACAACACTCTGCTGCTGAAAAGGTGCCAAAAAGCTTTGGTAGCTAATGACGCACAGCAGTGTGAGGTTGTCTATCACCCCTTATCACCCCTGGTGGGAGTCGGAAAATGTTGGACAGCTAATTCAACTTGTACAGTCTCCATCAATGGCAGGCGCTGGGTGTAGACAAGGCTTGCCAATCACCAGAGCAATTTTAACTTTCTTGTTTTAAAAACCGGGCCATAAAATGTTCAAACAAATGCAAGTGTTCTCCTTTAGAGCAATTTTAGTTGCCCCTCAGCTATGTTTCTGTTATTGCTTCCTTAGTTTTTCAAGTGATATAAAAAGAAGTACATGGCTGCTACTGTAACGGTGAAAGATTATAAAGAGGATTTTTAATTATTTGTTTATGACTTTTCTGTTTTGCATTGGTGTTATCTTGATGGCACGTTTCTTCATGGCTTTGTTTTGACATTTAAGAGCCACAAGTCTCGCACAGACTGAACATCAAAGTCAAAACAAGCCTTTAAAACAGCTCATTTTGGCTCAAATTGTACCTGGTGGAGTTAATTATACATACTTCAGTTTCAGCAACTTTGAGAAATTTTGGCAAGGTGAATAAGTCACTAGAAAATAATATCATACTCTTCCCAGCAATATGGAGATGTACAGCTCCAATGGTTGATAAGCTCAATTTGAAAGAGAAGGCGATTTACCTGCTTCTACAGCCTTCACAGTGATATTGTGCCAGCCTGCGGTCTCCCGGTCCAAAATCTTGCCCAGTGTGATAGCACCTGAATCAGGATCAATATGGAAGATCATCTCCTGGTCTGTGGTCCGATCGATGGAAAACCTGTAACAACAAATACAAAGAAAAGAGATAAAGATGTTAGGAAGAGAAGCAGTAAATGAGAGGAGGCAGAGAGAGTCAATAATCCAGGAATTTCAATTTTGAAGTAATTTAATTAAGAACTTAAGGACTTGGAGAGTTGACTTTGGGATACACTGAATATTAAGAACTTATACAGATGAGGGTTAAAGTAATTATATTTTAAAGGCATTTACTGGAGACTTGTCACAGGTCGTGTGACCCTAATAGTGCTGTGTCTCTTAACTGTAAGGGGCTGTACAGTAACTGTGTCCTTGCCTATTCAGAGTAAGAAAATAAACATTAAATTTTCATTGTGCACTCTAGAAAAACCACAAATGCATCTTTCCTTCTTTGGGGTACTTGGTGCTCTGAAAGGATTGGTGAGTCAACAAAAATCTGCTGAAAGGTTTCTTTGTTCTTAGTGCCTTTCCCCCACCACACACACAGCTGGCTGACTTACTCATGCCCACATAAACCATAATAAAGTACCATGGGCATTAAACACTCTTCAGGCTTCTCTGACAAACATACCAGCCAGCATTCTCCAAGGTCTTATGAGAATAGTGGTCACATGTATGTAGATATAAAACATAATGTCAAGAGACCCATATGCTAAACTCATGTGGTAGAGAGAATAGCACATGGATTTAAATAGGTATCTGATCACACTTTCATTTATTAAATAGTGTGGGTGTAGAATTGCATTTACATTTGTATTTAATTCATGTCAATAAGTCAAAGTGATAATTAACTCTTTATTAGTCCTGGTGTAACTAGATTTGGATAGAATGACCTCAAGATAACTTGTGTTTGAAATGAGATTTTGCCTCAGTTTCATCTAAAACGGCACTATGGCAATGAAATGATACGTTTTTAAGACACTGAATTGAGGTTACACACAGAAGATGTATATGTGCATTAATGTATCCATCAGTGAACATCCCTGTTGCATCTAAAATTAACATGCATCCCATTTAGGATGGTGATTAGATTTGGTTGGATTAAATATACACCTACCACTGACATTTATCTCCAGTATAACCAGTAAAATTTGATTTTACCCAACCTCAAATTGTGCTGCACAATATTTCATTTTATCTTTCTTTTTTTTTATAGAAATTGCATTCAGATGACAGATTTGACAGCGCAACAGTATAAAACAACTTGTAACAATAATAATAAAAAAACAACCAACAACTTAATTGTTTTTGTGCATCCTTGCCTCCCCACACGCCTACCATGATTATTATTCAAAAGAAAACAAAAACTGAACCTCTGGTTTCAGTTTTCGTGGGATTGGAGTCGGGGAAGATCATCATTATGTTTTTAGTCTCTTAACAATCCCTTTCTACATAAACACTGAGGCTCACACCTTCAGAATAAAAAAAAGCTTTCTTTCAAACATAATCCATCTGCATCACAAAACACAAAATTGGCTGATGCACACATGGTTTTCCCTACCCCCATCATATAGGCAAAACAGTATTTGTGTCCTTTTAACTAGACAATTATTTTATCTAACCTGTTTTTTATCAGAGCACATTTTGACAAGTGTGTCTAGTTTTACAGGTGTTTGACAACCTGGTTGAATACTTGTATGTTGGACTTTCTTTGTTTTTAGGTTACATGAGGAGTGGTTCCATTTGCAGATTGTTTTAATTAAGCCAGAATTAATCTCTCACCAATACAACATGGTATTGTTGATGAAATCCACAATGAATGCATATTTTGCACGGAAACATCATCACTTAGGGTGCATGATTATGCTGAGTTCTGAGCAGGTGTGTTGCCTAATGCCAGAGGCCATGAGCTCGGTAACTTTGGCCAGTAGGTGGCTCCTGGCTAATCTCTCTCCCTCCCTTTCACGCACTCACTCACTCATTTACTTACTTGAACACATGCACACACATAACCACACACACTCATATATGCTTGCACACGTAGCACACAGTTTCAGCTCCAGGCTGCCAAGACACTGGTGAACGACAGCGCTGCCATTGTGTTGCACTTTATTACACCTGGAACTCTGAGCCTCATGCATTTTTAATCGAGGTAATTTGCACAGGCACCGCGTGTGTCGGTGTATGCTCCATCAGTGAGACTGTCTTAGCCCTTATCTACATTCCCCTTTCACACTGCAATTGTTCTTCTGAGGACATATAAAGCACAGACCTTGGTACATAAGATTACCAGATGATATTGTTTTTATCACACACAGTTATCAGAGAGAAAAAAAGAGACATACAGTACAGCTTCATCCATTGTACAAGTCTCAACATTTACTATTTGCTTGGACCTTCAGTCCATCTTTAAGAGGAATTGTTTAAAACGAGATTTTCTCATAAGCCCATCAGCTACCTATATATGTTCTTGCAGCTAGTGAGTTATAGTTCTTTAAAGTTACATTTTTCATGGTAGAAATTAAGTTCTAATAAAAATGTATCTACAGTGGTAAAATAATATACAGTAGATACACGATTGTGGGCTTGAGGAATGGCTGCCCATGTTTCAGTGCTCCAGTGTTCCGTTCAAGCCACATAAAAATAAGGTACTCATTACCATGTAAAATGCTGCTTTATAATGCTGTTATTCATATTTAGCAGTAACCTTTCTACAGTGATATTTTATTACCAATGTTTGGTTGATATATTTTATCAGGCTGTTATGAAAAGCAGTTGTGTACCTACAGTATCTATCTTACTGTAGCTCAACATCTTTAACCATTTATATGCCACATTTCAACTCAGCCAAATGATTTTCATTTATAGCGAATCTCATATCATTACCAAACAAATCACACTATACACCAGTACGACCTCAGTACTATTGGCTCAGAATCAGTTCTTTCCTTTAAAGCCCCACTTCCCTTTACCTATTATATTTTAACTAGTAATTGGGATTATAAAAACCATCAGACCTAAGTAAACTTAATTATTCTATGCTACAGTTTACATGTAACTCATCTGAGTAAAAGTTAGCCATAACCTTTTTTTTCTGACACAATATGTAGCTTAGGTCTGATATACATTCTGCCATTTTGAACAGTACAATGCATTTTTCTTTTAGATGAAGTTGGCATTTGATCCCTTGACGTACCTGACAGGTTTATTCTTCCCATCTGGATCTCTGGCAGTGACAATGCCAACCAGCGCTCCAACTTTGGCATCCTCCTGCACTTCCATGATTGCACCCTCTGCTGGTTGAAAAATGGGTGGCTCATCTATGTCTGACACACTGACTTGGACAATGGTCTGGTCTCGGAAGGAAACCAGGTCCTCGAAGCGAGGGTCAACATGCTTATTTACTGCCTCCACCACCACACTGTGTGTGCGCTTGGTCTCAAAGTCCAGGGGCTGAAAGAAAAACAAGATTCTGTTTCAAAAACTGTTTAATTCCACATTAAGCTATGTATGACTAGAAGCTATATTGCAACAATACTAATGAATGAGAAAAGACTGTTGCAGTATTGATTCCACCCATTAGTGGCAGCACTGAGCCAATGCATCAGTGTACATCATCTTGTTCGAGATGATGGTTTCTTCCAAGTTATTGTTGTGTCTGCAGCACCAGCTTACCACTAGGTCGTCATCAGTGGTAGCTAGGAGGATATAGACTGCCACACTGTTGACAGTATATTGAACCAAAACAACTGCTTCTGGCTTAATGTCACATGTTTATACTGCCATAAGGCCCTATTCACAACAGCAATGTGTCACCTTTTACATCTGTATCTTAAGTGAAAAGATGCTACTGCATTCTGCATTCGTGAAAGGCCACTGACAGCACTTATCAAACCCCAATGGGAATGATGATCATCTGTCTTTCTCCAACTCTTCAGCATACTTTGAGTTTCTCTGTCTGAACAGGGCCTAAGAACTGTTACCCTTACTGACTAGAAAGACTTAACTGCTAGGCGCAAACACTTTTAACTTAAGCAAAATAATTGTTTTTGTTGAATGTTAACAGCAAGGCCCAGTCACTTTTCTAACAAACAAAATTCCAATCACTTTTCATGGGATTTTGCCAAAGATGGAAGGAACTGGTCTGCGTGACAACGAAGCTTGAAATATTCTTTTAAGAAAAAATAACAACAAATGCTTCCAGGAAATGTGACTAACATACCTGGTTATGGTGGCCACTATGAAGTAGCCAGCTCTTTATTCTTATTCAAAATAAGGATGCATACAAAATTGTCCTTTTGCACAAGTAGAAAATGACTCATTAAGCTGGTTGGTGTCATGCTGTCAAGGAAAGAGAGACTGAATGACCAAACAATAGGCCCCATGCATCCACTCGTATGAACATATTTGTTCTTCAGTGGCTTGTATGACTGATTTAAGAGAACTTGTAGCATTCACTAATTTAGAATTTTCTCTTAGATACGAACACAATTTACAAGTGGTTGAGACCACTCGTTGGAGTCATGTGCAATTAGTCTGCTGTTATCCAAACCAATTTGACTAAAAGAATGTGTATTGCATGACTATAAAGCAATTTTGTGTTTCCTATTTAAATTACACTTTATAGTTATGTCGATACCTTGTTTGACCATATAGTTTGAATTATAATATAGGTTCAAATGGATCATATTCCTTAAAATTGGTTATTGATGGTCGCGGTCCGGGGACACATGCTCTATTGCAATTCCTGACAATGCAACATCACCTATTCTGGCACATATTCTTTCATCTATCTCCATGATGAACCCCTGTCATTGCGGTTACCGATGGCTTTGCTCTTCTTGATTTCAGCAACAGTACGACCCTCAGGTGACACCATGTAAACAGACGCTGTTAAAAATGACAGACTTTCCTTTAATGATCTCCAAGAGCAGGACTTCAATCTCCAAACTCGAAAAGTTATCCTTCTTCAGCTGCACGTTTCTTACTTTTCCCTATCATGTTCATGAATGAACTTCCTCACACATGGACAGGCCATGTAGCCTTATATGGTTTTATTGGGGCATTAGTTGTGCAAATTTTCAATTATCATGCACCCACGCTCCATTAAGCTCAGGTGGCATTCATCATTTTTCAGAAATCTGAAGTTAGGAGTTTTTGCATTGAAACGTGCGTACTTAAGAGTTTTTAAAGCCAAAATGTATTTGTATGATTTTATTGCCTCTATACTTGTAAAACTAAATATTGGCATAGCAGACAACAACAGCAAAGCAGTATACCTTTAAGTTGACTATACCTTCTTGATGGAGACAACAGCTTCCTGAGTCTCAACATCAGTAGTGACCTTGAAGAGGTCCCCTCCCTCTTTGATCAGGTAGCTCATGTCTGTGTTCTCTCCCATGTCGGCATCTGTGGCAATGACGCGTCCAACTGGTGTCCCCACAGCCACCCCCTCTGACACCGAAAAATGGTACATCTCTGGTATATGGAGTAGGTGGCCGGCGGTGGAAATCGTATGGGCGAACAAAACAAGAAGAGTTAGGCTTAGCAAACAACAGTGGGATGCAGTGACAAGTATAGAAAACACCACAAAAGAAGTAAGATGAGAGACAAAGGTAACATGGAGAAGAGGGATGAGGAAAGATAGATTGAAGGCCGTAGGTGGAAAAAGGAGGGTGGGAAGTAAGGATATTGGTAGAAGAGATGGATAGGGAGCAGAAACAGAAAAGTGGGAGGAGGAAGGGATGAGAGAGTAACAAAGATAAAGAGGGTAAAGAGGAAGAGACAGGTAATGGAGAAAAACAAAGCTGTTTTGTTAGCACCATATTAACGGTTGACACTAGCCGTACTTATTAGAATTCACATTGGATTTAAATGATATCCCTGTTACAATATATTGCAGATAGATAAATATAATACAATATTTAACTGTAACTGCATTTAATTAAAATAATTAAAAATAATAATACCACTAAAGCATGTATAATATTAAGTAATTGGTGTGCATGATCATAACTTTTACTTGTGTTGACACCTTGTCAATCTGAGTGTTTCAAATGTCAGAACAGAGTGAAAAAAAGTATCATTATGAACAAGATAAAAAAAAACAATAAGGAGACAAAACTGTATTGTTCGCAACAGGGAACTTATGAGGAAACATCAAAGTCCTTACATATACAGTATATCATCTTCCTTTGCGTCTTATTTATGAAGCTGCTTTCCAAATCTATTCCTCATACTATACACTAGGCACGGCATTCCTGCAGGGTTTATCCCTCTGACTGGGTAAATATGATTTACTGAGATTTAAAAAAAAAAGGATTTATACAGAAATAAGAAAAGGTGTGTGGAGACATATCACATACAATCAACCGGACTGTCAGATGATATTCCTTGAGCTGTAACAAAAGCAATAGTGTTATAGTTTATCTCCAAAAAAAGAGGACGAAATAAGAAGCTGAAATGAAAGCAAGGAGGGGAAGTACTTTTTTATTCATACAACTAATTATTATTCAGTAAGGAGTAGCATTTAGCATGTTAATATCTGAAGAACATCACATTATAGGTGCTATAGTGAAATACAACTTTTAAAAGGTGTGAAACTGTAAGTACAATCACTTTTTATTGTGCTACATGTACTTCTGTTGATGCACTGAATTAAGTGTTTGTGTGGTGAGGTGAGACAGATTGCATTTTGAGCTGAATGTATTAACTCTTCCTGTTGTGCATATGTGCAGTGAAAATCGTTAAGCCCAAAATCCACCTCACCATCATAAATCCATAACATTACAATGAGGGAACAATCAGGCGTATTGATTCAGTCCTCTCATGAGCCTCACTTAAATAGAATGATCAAAAGTGCAGCGGAACCCATCAATTCCCCATATTTGATAGACTACTTTGTTCTGGGCTGAAGCTTTGATAGGCCAATAAATTTAGGTTAGATGATTTTCTCGGACTACATGCAGGCCATTCAGTATGGTTGCTGATGCCGTCATTGCTTATTGGTGTCAGCGACCTGCAGGTTGCAAACTCTATTGTGTGTCTTTTATAATCTTCTCAGTTATTCTGTCTCAGCTTTCACTTTCCTCATTATTTTTCTTTGTCTTTTACAGTCTCAGTCATTTCTGACTCTTTTTTTCTACACTGTTTCCTCCCTCTACTCCTTTGTCTCTGTCATTTCTTTCTCTGTCTAAAGTAAGATAATGCGCAGGAGACACTCACTCTGTGGGAAGCGCGGTGGGTTGTCATTAACATCTGTGATCACTATGGTCACCGTGGTGGAGCCGGAGAGACCGCCCATTTGTCCTGCCATGTCTGTTGCCTTGACAACCAACTCGTAACGATCCTGTGTCTCACGGTCCAAATCCGCCACTGCTGTCATGATGGTCCCTAATGATTGAGGGATGGAGGAGAGATTGAAGGGGAAAGACAGAGGGATGAACAGAGAGAGAGTGGGGAACACAAGGAGTAGTATGTGAGGCCAATGCAAAGGTTACATTAGTGGTTAGCACTTATGCAATAACCAACTATATTTCCCTTCTCAGCTTGAATATCAGCTTCAGCTAAGCACTGTATTATGGAGACACAAGTGCAGCACATTTCATTTCACCTCCCCAGACTGGCTGGATGGAAGAGATTGTGTCATATTTGTGCCTCTGCACATATGCCATTTTATGGCTCAGCTGTATTAAAATGAATAATATATAGGGGCAGAATGAAGGCATGCTTCAGCCACCCTGAACAGCATTACAACTTTTCCATGGTGGCTAGGACTGCAATCAAACCTGAGAAGTGGATTTCCAAAGAGCAAGTGAGGGACATAGAGAAAGTGATATAAAGTAGAGAGTGAATTAGAAGGCACACAGAAGCCTTCAATGCTCTGGGGTCTATGTTCAGATGCTTTTTAACTGTCAGTGGTCAGTTAAAAACACTGAAAACACGTTCACTGAGTTAAGCCATGCTAGTCCTCCTCCTTTCAACTTGTAGAACCACAAAGAAGTGACAAAACATTGTGGTAACCAAGAGAAGCATTTATGGAAACACATGGTCATCTTACTATGACCAAATGCAGACATCCTAATCAAAAGGTTTATGTTAGATGTGATGTCTGGTTCATCATGTCTTATCATTGTTGGGATGAACATACATGACATTCTCTTTGTTAACATAACTATATTTGGTTGCTCAAAGAGCTAGTACTATGGTCTTTCTTTTTAGTCTATATGAGTCACTCACATGCTCACAAACTAGCACATGGTCCTTCTTGGTTGGCACATCTCTTCCTCATTGGCCCAGCAGCAGCAGAATCAGTAGCTGGCTGGTTTGCTGTGCAGTAGTAATATAATTCCACTTTACCCCTTGGGATTTTCCCCATCAGAATCTATTGATGCATTTCCTGGGCTTGGTGTGCTGTCTCACTCCCAAAGGTTTGCATTGTGTTGGGTACACAACTCACTGATTCCAGTCACATTTAGCCCTGGGCCATGTTCTGTGAGTAGCCAAAATACAGTACATGCAGCACTGGAGTTAGGGAGGTAGGCAGATGACAAGCTCCTCTTTCATCCACCAAAGGCCAGAGGGGATGCATCTAAATCAGGGCTGTCAAAAGTAAAGCCCCAATCCACAACTAGTATACAGCACCACTGCTCCAACATCATGGTAGATATATGTAGATGAGTCTACATGGACTGTATTCATGAATGCAGTGTGTATGTGGTCCATATTCAAATGCATGTCACGTAGCCTTAACATTAACCAATTTAACCGAGTAATAGGGCCAAGTACAGCAACTGTGAAATAGTGCCTCAGCATGGTAATGCATTACATTAATGTAAAATAAATGATGCTGTTACAATAAGTTTTTTTACTCACATCAATTGCATTTCTGTTTTTATTTCACTAGGCATTGGTAATCTAATTATGCTGAGTACCTATGAAACTAACCATCTTGCCATTTGGGCCATTATGGCTAGCATGATTGAAAATAAGTAGTTTTGCCAGACTAAGTTGTCAGCTTTCCTTTTGAGCCTGTCACTGTCATTTCCTTTGCCGCTGTGTGAGCCCTGTTAGCAACCAATGATCTGTATATATTCCTGCTCTCTTTCATTGGAAGTGCCATTGCACTCTTACAGTATAAAAAGCCACATGGACATATCTCCAGCTAGCACGTAGAACAGCCACTCTTGAAGTGGATTAAAGCAGAAAGAGGCACATATGTCTTTGTCTACACTTTCAGCAGCTGCATTCATGTATAGAACCAGAGTAGGTTTTTTTTGTACTTGGTTCCTTTTTCTTTTTGCCTTGAAATATAGAAGCATCCTAGTTGCCAGTGTGCTTTGGAAGGAGGGAGAAGGGTAGGTGATTAGCTTAGTGTAAGCACAGACCAAAAAGCAAATCATCAACCAAAAACAAAAGTTGACACAACCGCAGTCTAGAGCGCCTTCCCATCTTGAGAAGTACAATGCAAGAACACATATACTAGCAAAAAAGGCATCAAGAGGCCCTATGGCAGACTTAGTGGTGTCCCCATGCTATGGTATGCTGCACAGCATATAGTATGTCATGGTTGGATGTCTCCTTTTATTATTTTGGAATATATAATTCTTCTTCATATTTTTTTTTAATTCTGTGAGTAAAATATTGTCTGTATTCCTTGAAGCAAATGCAGGTGTCATGTTTTTTTTTGTTGTTTATATAGTAATAGAATAATCCATAGTAAAAAAGCAAACTAGGATATCTAAATGTGTTTAGAAGGGTTTTTGTAGTTTTCTATTTAAAAATAACATCCTGATTTACTTTATATAAACAGTGTACAGTTCAGTCCTTGTAAAATCACTCCTTTGACTCAGATACTCAAAAACACCTACAGACAATTCCACCATGGCCAAAGCGACAAAAAGAAACACAGTGACTTGCTGTTCAGTTTGTTGTCAGGGTGAGTAAGAGTGATATTAATGAGGCAGATTTCACAGCTGTTCTGTCTCCTCTTCATTTTGACCTTCTTGACTCATACCTATTAGGCTGGCCCGTCTGCCTACAAAATGGGTAAAGGGGGTGGGTGGAATGGGGGTCGTGAGACAGAAGCTGGAATGAACCATCCAGTCTCCTGGCTAGTACCACTGATGCAGAGCCATTTATCATCCACGCTCCCAGGCTGACCAAATCAAAGTGGTGGAGACCAAAAAAGGAATCATTAAAACTTTAGTGCTTTTCCCTGGAGGGGCATTCGAAGGCAACACCAATGCTAAGCTACTCCTGAAAGACTCTGGGTCAGGTAATATCACTCCTATAAGACCCACAGCAGTTGGGGAATACAGAATCTAGGACTCTGATATAATGGTGATTACTTTGACAAATTTGCTCTTATTTGATCCTTAGCACTAGTGGGTAAAGAACATTGTTTGGCTTTATCGTGCTAAATACCCAGTGCAAGTCTAAACAAAACCAAAAAAACAGGCAATAACAATAAAGCCAAAACAATTAGGAAAAAATAAAATTAATAATTAATAATAATGACATTTTTTTGTCGCATTGAATGTCCAAGAAATATGTGCTATGTTTATGTTGTCTGTTGCTTATTTAATATACAAAATAATTTCTTCAAATATCGGCTTGAAGGTGCACTAAACACTGTGTTGAGCAAAACAATGTATGGTATTTTGAGTGTCTGCAAAAAGGAGCCGGTAATGTTGGTTAAAACTTAAGCTGTTTGTTTTTGGCCAACTGATTTGGGTACACATTTTAATCTCTCTCTCTCTCTCTCTGAGCTTTAGATTACTTGAGGTAGAAAAAAGGAGCAGAAGAAAATCTGATCATTCTTACCTGTTTTTCTGTCAACAGTGAAAAACTTTTCTCCATCCAGTACGCTGTAGACCACTCTGGCACTGCTGCCATATGTAGGGTCGTCAGCATCTGATGCAGTCACGTTCATAACGGCCGTTCCTGTTGAGAGAGAGACAACATGATAACGATGTAAAAAACAAGAAAAAAAAACTTCAGAGCCAGGAGGCCACTGGGGAAACTTTAGACAAATACTGTTTAATTAGTGTATACTGTATGGGAAGGAGGTGGTGAAGAAATGTGGGTGTTTTTTTTTTTGTGGGTGTGCAACTCTGGTCCTTTGTCAGGACCATTATGAGGATCATTTTGTATTGCATTTGTAAAGAAAAGTGAGACATACTGGCCTGTCCTCAATCACTGTTAGGGTTAGGGTTAGGCACATAGTTGTGATGGTTAAGGTTAATGTTGTGGGTTAGGGAATGCATCACATCAATAAGGGGGACTCACAAGTGTAGCAACAGTAATGCGTGTGTGAGTTTGTGCACACGCCTGTGTGTGTATTCATGCGTACTTGTCTGTGATTATACTTGGGATAGGGAGGTTAATGCATTTGGGTACCACTGCATCAGGTAGCTATTTCATCTCTATGCACATAATTTTCCAAACAAATTTTTGATGTTTCGAATTACCTTTTTACTACACCAATGCTCAGAGCTGTTTTGCCTCATTGATACAGAAGTTGCGCACAGAGATGAAAGGAAACATGGAGTCATAAAGTCAACATTATAGCTTCAAAGACTGCTAGAAGCTCAAGAAATCTACAACAAACAATTACTCGTGATTACCGGCACTTAGGCAGAGAATACAGTGATTTCCACTTGAAGATTTAAAATTTGGATTTATAGAGCAACAGTGTTTAAGTCGTTATTTCCCACTCAGTGTAGTATATTTGTCAAAAGTGTGCATATTTAAGCTTGTGGTGGAAAATACTCTGGTGCGTCTCGCAATTTAATGACACATTTTAATTAAAGCTCAGCCTAAAGTCTATAAACTTTAAGGTCCTTAATTTTAAGGCAAAGAAACAACCATATATTTGTCTTTTCGCATGTGAACACATTTCTTTTTCTTTCTATAAATAAGTTCACTTACTGCTAAAGGAAAATATAAAGGGAGACGTCCCTGGGAGCCATAGGTGCTCAAGGACAAGGAGTCAGTCTTTGTCTCCATCCCTTTGGCGAATGCTATGGGTAATTACTGACAGCTGGTGTTGTCCACCAAAGGTCATCGCTGTAGCCTTTCTCAGAGCCCTGTCATGCTACTGTCCAGCCACATAATGGCCGTATGCTAATGATGCTAATTAGCGGGAAGTGTCAGAGCACTGTTTGTTTCCTGTCATCCAACGGAGGTCCTAAGGGGGGAAAGAGGGAGGGAGAGGCAAGTGGATTATCATTAAAGTCGCCCGGCCATTAAATCAGACAGTTCAGATCACTATCCTGTTGCCGTCACCTATAGCACTTTTTGTTCTCCCCGTATGTAGATATAAGCTGGCTAGTTTGAATGCTAACATATAGTTATGATGCAGTACTCTACGTGGTCTATGATACTGGTGAAACAAATGAGGGTGTGCTATTTTCTGAACTATGTGACAGTGTGACAAATTAGCTCAAAGGTAAAATATCCTCCGAAACAATTGGTGTGAAAAACGACGACACACAAAAATGGATTAACAGATGAATGGATCACTGTCTCTCCAGTATGTGCAACACCAAAGAATCATGAATTCTGGTGCTGTCAACAACCTTATGTGGTTTTCAGTTAAATCCGGATATATTGCAGCTCCCAGTGGATTCAAAGCAGTGCATATTAACTAGGATGGAATGAGCTTTTAATTCATATTCTGAGTCTTATGATACACTCATTACCTCATCCAAATATGCAAAAGTACACACTAGCCTGATCCTCAGAAGATCAAGATATACTGCATCCCAGTAGGGGGATGAGTGAGATATCATTCCTATCGTATTGAAAACATAAGGCTATAAAGAGGCTAGGCATTTTCATTACTGGCAACAGGAAGGGGTCTTTTAATTCTGCCTACCTGGTTGGCCCTACTGCGGTGGGTCCAACAAAGCCATTTTCATCCATGGGATTACTCCCTTATCTTAATTTTCCCCAGGTAACAATCAGTTTGAAGCTCAGCTGTTTTGGGTACTGCCTGGCAGCAACGTCAGATGGCTTGGAAGAACTATATAAATGCAAATACTTCTTTATTGTGTTTATATTATAAAGAGAAGCGAAGCAGTAAGTTTGGCACTTGGATTCTTATTAAAGCTCTGGCTTGCATCAGTGTTTTCAGTGGGAAAAGTCATTACTTACAGTATCTGTTGGCATGGTTGGCGTCGCACTTAAGCAGATTCTACAGTTGATGGACTTGTGGGAATTCAATAAAAATTATTGACTTTCTAAGATTCGAATGTAATGCATATTGCCGTAATAGGAGAAGTATGTCTAATGGGGAGAAGCTTCAGATATTCATTAGCTAAGAAGTTGTTTTTCTCTCACCAACTAAAACTTCAATCACAAATTGCTCTCAGATGAGACAGCATGCACTGTAGCAATAATAATTTTGATTACCAAAATATACAGGTTTGTATCTCTTTATTCCCCCTCTGGGCACATTTGTTTGGGCTGAGTTTGTTTGGATATACAACAAAACTTTCTACATAATATTATTCACATATCCATGCAATAACACCACTGATGGAATTGACACAGTCAATTATACCTTTCTTATTACTTAACACAGTAGCTTAACACTTAAAAAGAAAAAAAATATTTTGCTACCACTATTGCTGCTTTAGTGTAGAAGGGTTTGCATTTACTATAGTACACCCTAACATTACTGCTGGGTGTTCTTCCAGGTGAAATAGAGCTGACACATTTCTGACCACACCCAATCAGAAGAGGTCAAAAGAACAGCTGTCAACCAAAAACGGTCAATGAAGCAATCATTTTCAGCTTGCTTAAGTAAATCTTTAAACATATGCAACCTCCATAATTTTGTCAGAAGTCAGAGCCAACTTGTCACAGTGAACAAATATCCACCTTACTTACTCCTGCCTTCAGTGCCTCTACTTCGGATTAAGCTGTAGCCTGCAGATATTTACATTGTTGGTCTCACCATCAACCATAGAGAAGTCAGCATTTGCTAATTATCTTATGCTAATTTTCAAACGTAATGAAAGAGATTTTTTTGTATAATAATGACATGATGTGAACGCTGTTTAGCATTTACTAAAGCATTCATGAGAGCAACACTATTTAGCAGTGTATCTCCCAATGACTTGCCTCAGCACGGAGGACTAGACAGGGTTACAACATCTCATTGCCATGCAACTATAATAATCACATGGCTTTGTTATTCAATTAATTGTAGCAGAGAAAAATAAGACATAATTGAGGTTGAATGGCAGCTATTTATTTAGCATTATTTACAACTTCTATTTAGTTATTATTTCTACAATTATATCATTACAATGTGATAAACTCTTTTTAAGGCACTGAAAATCACACTAGGTACTTGAGATATTAACAGCTAAAACAGCTAATTAGGTAAAGTAAATTACCTCAGTTACAATAATTATTGTTAGTTTAGAATTATTATCTTTAAGTCTGTTTCTTACTGGAACACATGACACCTCTTGCAATGCTGTAACATTGTCATGGTGGGAAGAACCTGACCGAAGCAACAGTCATTCCAGAATAATAACATAGTAATACAGTCTGTGTTGCAAATGATATTCAAGTGTACTATATCCCTTGTGGGATAATGTAAATAATATTTAGTTGAAACCTAACCCTGGGACCATCTGTGGTGAAATGGAGTAAGGAGTAGGGTTGCTTTTGGGGGCGTTGAGGCTTTGGTGGAGGGTGGGTGACGATGGCTATATAGTTAGATTTATGCATGAGTTTGGTTTAATGGTATCAACACAGGCTGTTGGAATGGCTTCCCACACCATTTCAGCACTCTGGGAGAGATGGTTCAATTACTGTGAGGGGAGCTGGAGGAGTCTGCCACGTGTGAGACACTAGACTGACAGCTATTTAAGAGGCAGCCTCGTAAAAGAGATTTGTGCCTATCTCAGCTGGTGCCGTACTGGTGCGAGCTTCAGTGGAGGGGTCTAACGGCTGCAGCACTGAGCCTCGTTCTCACTCCGACCCGCCTTAATCTGCAGGACTGAGTGCTCCCCGCCCGCATTATGGATCATTTAGTAAAGCCATAAAAGCTGAGGTGTTTTCACATGAAAAGTTATTTCTTCACTACTTCTACTGTGATTCATTCCTCTCTCATCCACATAAATGCCCCAGGAGAGAGAGGTGGGGATAGGGTGAGGGAGAGAATCGGGGGTGAGAGAGAATGAAGTATAAAGAGAAGAAAAATCTGCCATGTCATAAAAGCCAATGGCCTGCTTACATTGATCCTCTTTGAGATCTCTACAAGGATTTAGGGATATTTTTCATCCCTCCTGACTGAGATTGTAATTCTAATCTTTGTTAGCCTTTGAACTTAACTGATCATTATGTGTTTTGTAGACAATATTGTGGTCGACTTTAAATCTTAACCTCTAATAATTTTAAGGCATAGTCTCTCAACAAACATGACAAAAGAATTGACTCTCCATCTAGGAGAAACATTAAGGTACAGAAACTTTTCGGTTTAGAAACCTTTATATTTGTTCAAGTCCACTTTAAAATACAACTTTCAAGTATATGAAACCACATTTTTTTTCACTAGATTTGTGTATACCCCCGCCTCTAACTGCAAGTATCAACTCCATGTATCAACATTATTGTTTCAGACAAAGTGTATTCCTTGCACAATGTCAAAATGTATAATGTACAAGAAAGTGAAGGGCCCATGCTTCTCTGCATCTCTACAATAATGAAAAAGTTAGAGCCTTAATCAATTTCACACTTATGAATCTATCGTGCTGCTGTTGTCATACACATCTTCCATGCCTCCTCACAAACCGAACAACACATTCTCTCTCTCGTGCCGTTTCTCCCTCCCCCACATATACACTGATTCATACACATGACCGCACACACACACACACACACACACACACACACACACACACACATCAGCCAAAATCAATTAT